AATGGAATAATAATAAAAAAACGAAAGAATATTAATCTACAACCCAGTGTGTCTAAAGATTTTAATTTTTTATTTTCTTATTGTTCAAAATATATATATATATATATATATATATATATATATTATAAATTAATTGATTTAAAATATGTTTTTTTTCGCTACACAGTTCTAACCATGTTTCAAAAATGGAAGCTAAAAGCCCCGAATTTAATTTTGTAATTAAATTAAAGACATAAGTTCCATTTCATCCTCAAGCAATTTTTGGAGTAACTTTTTTAAAATTACTGGGTTTTAAAGACACAGCTAAAATCATAATTCATGTTTCCAAGATTACAGATGAATCCAATTTACCAGACGAAGGTTGTCTCGGTGTCTATATTTTAATGTATCAGTTATAAAATATAGACACCAAGACAACCCTCGTCTGGTAAATTGGTAAGAAATGTAGATCAATGGCGTAGTCCAATGAGCGTTGTTATAGACTTAGCTCTCAGACTAAGGCTCTTGACTCTCCCACACATCCGTCGGTATTTATGACGGACACCAGCCAATCACATTCCAGTGAGGGGGAACACAGGTGTAAGCATATTCCATTATATCATATACAAAAAAAGAATTAATTGAATAAGTATTAAATTTTATTTTTGCGTCAGCATGATCCAGAATAAAAACGATTTATAAAAATTACAAAAACTCAAAATATGGCAAGCCAATTATGGCCCACAGACAATATCTTGGAAACCCCTCCCTTATTATAATATGAGGTGATAATGCTAGAATAAAACATTTGAATATTATTTCTTCAAAACTGCAATCATCCAATCTTATAGGTTTTACGATAATTTTGAAACCTCTAACTGGGACAATTTTCATTTTTTATTATGGTATTAGATTTTTTATTATGGTATTAGATTTCTTGCATAATAATGTGTCTTTATGATCAAGCACCCCTTTAGCTTCAAAGCTGAAAACAAAAAACAATCCTCCAAATTCTGATAGCTTATATTGTGCAGACAGACCTCCAAATTCTGATAGCTTATATTGTCCAGACAGACCTCCAAATTCTGATAGCTTATATTGTCCAGACAGACCTCCAAATTCTGATAGCTTATATTGTCCAGACAGACCTCCAAATTCTGATAGCTTATATTGTCCAGACAGACCTCCAAATTCTGATAGCTTATATTGTGCAGACAGACCTCCAAATTCTGATAGCTTATATTGTCCAGACAGACCTCCAAATTCTGATAGCTTATATTGTCCAGACAGACCTCCAAATACTGATAGCTTATATCATTGAGACAGACTAGTTTTACATACCAATATAAATATATTGGGACAGTTTCATATGACTATATTACAGAAACCTTACAATAACCAATATTTAGGTTCTGCTATGCTAACTGCACGAAATAAACTTTCATAATTTTTTCAGTGTGAAAACACCAACTGGACTTGATGAAAACAGTTGGCTGCATCAATAAATCATCTTTAAACAAAGCAGGGAAGTCCTGTTGCAAAATACAAGCATATGTTAGGTTGTTTCAGAAAGTATATTCACATTTTTGGAAAACTTGTTCCAATGTAAGAAAAATTTCTTGTTGAAAAAATCTGATACTGAACACAAAAATAGCTTATATCAGCATTTAAACAAAAATTTCATTACCAAATGGGCTTGGTGTGCAGCCTGTTGAATTTGTTTAGATTTCTCTAAGAATAAAATAAGATTAGGAAGATTGGTAAATAGAGAAACTCCCCTAAGGACTACAAGATAGGAAGTTGTGGAAAGACATGATCATCCATATCCTGTTTTTCTTTTTGAGTTGCTTAATCACCCAGCTAGGAAACATTGGACCCTCCAGCCTTTGTTTGACAACCAGTCTACTGCAGCTTACTGCTGGAAAATCTTCTACCTAGTCAGCTAGGAATCAAAAGAGACATGATTGCCAAAGTGTGTATCATGTATGACACTTAACTGATGAAGCCACCCTGTCATCAGCAGTTGAGTTGCTTGAGATTTAGTCAAATTTTAGTACAGTTACTGATGAGCAAAATATGTGTTACTCAAGTTCTGCACAAGAATTAGTGCTCAATGTTTGGGTCTAATAAATAGAAAAGAAATTTAACTGTAACTAAATTGGTAGAATTCTTGAATACTGTATGAAATAATTTTTGCATCATTAACATTCAGACTAATATCCTCATCTTTCTATAGTCTGAATTTGAATTTTATAAATAATAATTCTTCATCATTGCAGAAATTCAGACAGCATGAATTAAAATAATTAGCAACCCTTTTTGTCTAATTTTATAATTTTCTTTACTTTTCTTTTGTTTTTTTGGTTTTAGGCCACCTGATGTCAGTAGTGAAATTGCTTAAGATTTAGTGGCTTATAGAAAAAATTGTGTAGTTGAAAGAAAATGACTCTCACTCCTATTGTGATGTTCAGCTGAGAGCCAGATTGTATAAATTGTTGGTAGTTTAATATCAGCTGTGCATGAGTTAATATTTCAAGTCGAAGTTGTAAACGGCATATAGTAGAAAACTGGTGCTATGGTTCAACTACAATCTTCTAACAATATAAATTGGATACAAATACATTCATCAGAAACAAATAGTGTTCATGCTGAGAACAGTTCATTACAACCTTCTCCAAATTTGATTAAATGGAAATCTTTAAGTGTTAATCTAGTTGAGTTAGGTGACTGTGGTAAAATATCCCACTCTAATGATTTGTTCCTCTAAGTTTATACTTACTCAGAGTAGGATTTGAATCATCGTTCTAAGGTATGACACACTTTCTGAAGACCAAAACCAAAAGTTTTGGATATAAGTCTTTACTTTTTGCTCATTCAAGTTGTCAACAATAAAAGTCTACAATGATTGTCTTGTTTTATTCTAAGAGCTTGTAATAGATAAACACTGCTAATATTTGAATGGCATTTTAACGAGACCAGGGGTGGGCAAACTATGTCATATGGCCCACCTGTGGCTGACATTATTTTTTTTTTTAAATATCCATTTATAGATTTTGTTATTTTTTGGCTACAGGTTATACAAAGTAGTAATCTTTTCAAAACAGGAATAAAGACAATAAAGATGCAAATCCTATATATTTAACATGGAGATTGCATCCTACAAAATCAACATATCACATTAGTATCTGTCTATATTTCTGAGATGAGGTATTATGTACACTATTTACATTATTCGGACTATTGTGCAAAATAAAGGGTTCAGTTCAACATTTCAACCACCTGAAGAAGGTTGGAGTGCACAACGGTCGAAACGTTGTAATAAACATGGTGACAAAGATGAGGACAATAGTCCAAATAATGTAAATAGTGTATATCGCATTAGGTACTACCACAGGCATCTGGATTGTTGTCCCACACTTTGTCAATGTCAATACTCAATCATCAACAGAGTATAAATTGATGAAGAGAAATAGATGCCTCTGTGTGTTGACAGGATGTCATTTCTGCACTTTACTATTTCTCACAAGATTTATCAAGAATTCCCTTTTTTTTCTTTTTTTTTCTATCTCTTTTCTCAGATGTAAAAATCTCATTAACAGTAGCAAATGTATCAAATATTAACCTTTTAATATACTGTAGGTGATTTTGCTTGCAAAGCAAAAATTTCATCCTAGCACTGCAAGTGACTCGGATCAATGAATAATAGCATGTTTGAATTTTGCAGATCTGTTGTCATATCCTGCTATGGCAACAGAAAATGACCATGACTGAAATTAAGTAGCGCAGTAGAGGAGCCTTGAAAAACAATGCAGTGGAAAAGAAAGTAGTGAATAATGTAGAGTGTTAGCAGATAAAAACTAATTATACATTTGTGTAGTCGGTTCCCAAAATGTAATAAACAAATGTACAAATAACAGGCCCATATATGATTGTTATTTATATTATTGCTGTAAAACTCATGCTGCTGTTATGATACAACTTACTTTACATGGGGTCAACAATGATGCAGCCCTGCATGGAAAAAAGTTTGCACAGCCATGAACTAGACCATATATAGATGAGGTTCTGGTCTAGAGGTTGGCATAATGGATTTTTTTTGTCTAGATTCTTTTAATAAGGGGGGAAAAAAGAATTAGTTCTGCAGTAAACTTTTGTCATTATTAATAATAACGATTATGTTATTGACATATTGACAAAAAAATTTTTTTTTTTTTTTTTTTTTACATTTGAACTATTTTTTTTTTTTTTTTTTTTATTCCATCTCCCAAAATGCGATATTACTTACGAAGAAATACTAATACAACCCAGCACACATCAATTGATTTCCTCTGATCGGCATAACTATTTTCTAACAGAAGATAATCTCATTGCACCTAACAGATTGTTTCAAACTGTTTTTCCAGAATAGGATTCCAAACTGAGAGTTCTGCAGTTCTGATATTTGGTATCAGCTTGTGACATTTTCCCCATCTTCACTGTACTGTAACATTAAGATTTTAGCATTGGGACAAAGTGCCTTTCCACCATCTTGTGATAAGCTATAAATATCCATTCTTGCTCTCTCTCTCTTTGTGTACTTCATCGTCTATGGTTTCTGCTCCCATACCTGTTCATTTATACCCTACCACCGACGCCAACAACAAGGCTAAAAAATAAGGGACTGGTGCCAAATTTTCATTGACTTGAAGGTAGATTTGCCAGTACAACATTAGTGAGAAGAAAGAAGCTGTTTCTTTGTTTAAATTAGTATTGATTGATTTGTTTTTTATGGCTTATCAACCTTTTGCAGGTTATTTAAAGCCAAAAAATATTTCTAGATTGTTAGAATTTTTTGGAAATAATAATTTTACTGATATAAGTCTTGCTAATTAAACCCATAGCTGGAGGGAGAAGAGGAGGATTCATACCTTTCCCAAGGGTATTTGCTCATAAGTGAATATAACGAACCCAACTGGAATTGAAACTCTGCTCTCCGATTAACAATTTTGAGTTGTTATTCATTACACCATCCTTACATCCAAGCTGGTATTCTCAAATGGTCACCCATCTAGGTACTGACCAGGCTTGATGTTGCTTAACTTCAGTGATCGTTTGAGAATTGGTGTTTCAACATGATATAGCAGTAAGCTTTTTATATTAGTAGATAAAAAGAAATTATGTTGATCCTGATCAGTTTCTGTCTAAAATGGAAGTTAGAAATTATGTTCACTATTTACATTATTCGGACTATTGTTCTCATCTTTGTTACCATATTTATTACAATGTTTCGGCCGTTGTATGCTCTGGCCTTCATCAGGTGGTTGGAATGTCGAAGTGAACCCTTTATTTCGCTCACTGGTGTAGACTGTTCTAGTTTCATGTGCCATGTTTAATGGATGTCAGTTATCAGTTATCTCCTGTTAATTCCCCTCTCCAAGTTCTCCACTACCTTAACCAGGTATTGTATCACACTCTTTGGGTCTTGTCACTGGATCTAACCAATGCCTTTATCCACTGTGCCATGTGTCCTTAAGGACACATGGCACAGTGGATAAAGAGTGTGAGTTCAATACCCAATTAAGGCAGTGCCACCCTTGAAATAGTTCTCATATTTCAGGAAACCTCCTGCATAATTATTATATACCTTTATTAATATCTATCTCTTTTTGTACTTTTTATGTAGTTCATGTGGTAAACATAGCATAAGGATACCGTGCATGCGTCCTTTACTTGAGTGAATCACTCAATGATACTCAAATCCACCACGTACAGGAGGTCCTGTCCACTAACCAATGAAGGTGGTTTGACACTGACACCATATAGACATCACTAAATATATTCCCTATGATTATCATAATCTTAAATAACATAAGAGGTTGAAGCCTTTATTATAATAACCAAGGGTTTTCCAACAACATGCCATACATGTATAGCAAAATTAAAAATATAAAATTAAACAAAAATGACTCAATCTATTTACCACTGTTTCTCGCAAAACCCCTAGCAACCTCTTGTGGAGCCCTAGGTTCCAAGGAATACCAGCTGAGAAACACTGCTGTAAAGTGAAAAAAAAAGAAAGGGGGAAAATTTTACTATCAAACCCCTTGCTGAATGGATGCAATTTCTGAGAAACTCAGAGTGGTGACAGATAAGTGAAGCTTTGAATTTTATTTGTTAGCCCATAAGCAGGTAAAGGCTCAATTTGTATCTAGGGTGGTTCTGTATAAGAGAGGCTCATTGAGCAGCATAGTCCCAAATCACCATTGATTGATTGTGTCTATTTATACACCTTTGAATAAAATTATAGTAAAATGATTTCTTTTTCCCCCAAACAAGACTGATTTCTTTTTTAATGAAATTGTCTAATAAATACTCTCAACCTGCTGTCTTCAGTTGCTGGTGAGAAAAAACTCAAACAATCTGGCTAAAAAATAAAATTTCTGTCAGGAATGGATCTAGATGTTTAATAACAAAATATTTACATTTGAACTATTGTCCCTATCTTTGTTGTTATTATCACAACATTTTGTACATTGCGTCCTCTGACTTTCTTCAGGTGCTTGTTGATCTGGATTGTCTTCAAGGAAGTTTGAACAAACCCTTTATTTAATTTACAGGGTTGGATTGTTCTTGTTTTGTTGTCCAAGTCTAGGAAGATTTTATCTTGTACTTATTTAGTACTGCTCAGTTATTGCTTATTCTGTTTCCACTGAGCCCAAGTTTATTAGTGGATTAAGCATTGGTTTATGAATTTGGTTACATAGTAATTGTGGGTTCAATCCCAGGACTGGTCAGTGCAGACTCTTTCCCAATTAAGAATAGTATTATGAACAAGACACCCTCTCTAAAATGATAAAAAAAATGAATTTTTTTGATTCTGACAGATGTTGTGGATGGAGGAAAGTTTACTGAATGCTAATCTACAAAAATTGTTAAAGAAAAATTCCTCCCTATTTTTTGTGAATGTGCAGGTGTTGTAACGGATAGCGGCTTAGAATGAGAAATTGGAGATCTGAGTTCAAATTCCAGTCAAGTTTGTTACAATCACTTACATGCTAATACCCTTAGAAAAGGTATGTGTATCCATCACTTCTACCACAGCTATGGGTTAAATGGTAGGACTTGTATCTGGAAAAATCATTATCTTCAAAAAATTGTTAATGCAATATTCACCTGCACAAAAACAATTATTCTTACAATCCAATAAATAAATGTTTCAGATTTAAATAACCCATAAAGGATTGATAAACTGTAAATACATATTTATTCATACACCTCTTAATACATTTAGTATCAATAATTTTTTTTTTTTTTTTTTTTTTTTTTTTTGCTAACAGGATTCCCTAGAGATTAAATAGCATCACTGGGAAGCAATTAGTCACTGTAGTGGAGAACAAAATGAGGACAAGACACAAATTTCAAAAAGGGGATGTTGCATAATCAATACCATTTGGTGCTTAACAGGTAAAGTAACAAGAATATTAACATCCTTTATTAAACACCAGTTCAAGTTGGAAGATTTTTTTTCTTTTTGTTTTCTTTTTCTTTTTTCTTTTTTTTTCTTTTTTTTAACTCTTCCAATTTCTCTTGAATTGAGGTTTGTTATATTAGCTTATGCACAAGTACCCTTGGGAAAGATATGAATCCATCTCTTCTCTCTCCCCCCGCTATGGGTTAAATAGTAAAACGTGTATCTAGAAAACTCATTGTTATTCTCAAAAATTGTTAATGCAATATTCATTTACAAAATAAGAATTATTCTTACAATCCAAAATACAGAAGAACTCCCCAAATCCGTACATAGCATAATCAAGACTTCCTTGAATTAGGACTAATCTTCAAATTCAAACTTATGTATTGACATAAATATGAAGCCCTTTCTTCCTCAAGTCAGAACAGCACGTTCAATACCAGTCATCTCGGATCTTCGGTTTAGAGGAGTTGTTCAGTATATCCTTATTTTTGACTTCCTTTATACATTGCAATTGTTTTTGAATAAGATATTTCATAAATGTTTAAATGGATATCAGTGTCGCACTTTCCGTCCCTGTTAAAACACTTCCCAGATATTTAAGATGTAGTACTTGTTTGATTTTGGTAAGACTTTCATTTATCTTTTTGTCTATATACAGTAGATCACCCCAAATCCGAACATAGCATATTCTAGACTTCATCGAATTATACTTCCTCGACTTTGAACTCATCTTCAAATCCGAACTTTTGCATTGGCATAAATATGAAGCCTATTCTTCCTCAAATCAGAACAGTACACTCAATACCAAACATCATGGATGTTCACTTTAGAGGAGTTGTGTATATCCTTATTTTTGACTTCCTTTACAGATTGCAATTGATTTTGAATAAGATATTTCTTGCCCATAATTTTTAAACATTTCATAAATTGTCTTAGTTTTTCACAAATTCCAATATTTGTTTAGCACATATTTTTTCATTACTATTGGCTGTCAATTATTATTTGTACATTTATGTATTCAGTCGACATTTTAAATAAAAACAATCAATGTTACAAACTACCTTTTGTATCCTAAACTCTAAAACTTAATAAAATCTTTAAGTTTGCCACAGCAGCCTTTTCTTCCTCAAATCCGAACAGTACCCTTAATACCGAATATCTCGAATGTTCGGGTTAGAGGAGTTGTACTGTATATTTTGATTTGAAATAACCCACAAACTGTTGATAAGCTGCAGGAAAACCAAAAACCAAATAAGTTTTGAATTGAAATGGAAGTGTTACTATTTATTAGTTTTATGTTAGTTTTGATGCTAAAAATGATCTGAATTCTTCATTTTCTTTTATGTGCTATATCCCTTCAGGACATTAATGATCATGGCTCTCCACAATTTCTAGTCCTTTGAAGCTCTTAATAAATTTTGTCTTTTTGTTATCTCTCCTAAACCTTGTTCCACCATCCATTTACTCAAGCTGGCTAGATAGGTTATACATTGCTTCCTTCTGTCCCTCTTGCTTTCAATATGTCCTGTGAGTATCAAATTTTCCAAGCCCTTTTTCTTCATTGTGTGTCCTAGAAATTTAAACTATTTCTTCCTGATATTAAGTATAAGTGTCCTTTTTGTTTACATCTTCCATAAAACTTTGTTGTTACTCACATGTTCGATCCTTGGTATTCTCAGCATCCTTCTGTAGAACTACACTTCTGTTGCTTCATGTATCTTCATCTGCAAGGAGATTGTCCAGCATTTACTGGAGGACTGATATTACATAACAGTTCAGTACTCTTTTCTTTCTTTATCTTAAAAGTTTTGCTTCTTATTAATTTGTTTATCTCTTGAAAGACATTTTTCGCTATGCCAATCTCCTTCGGATTTCAGTGTCACGCTTTCTGTATTCTATTAAAACACTTCCCAGATATGTAAACTGTTGTAGTTGTTTGATTTTGGTATCTCCAATTTGTAATTTACATGTTGGGCTGTTCCTTTAGCTAACAACCATGCATTCCATTTTCTTGCAATTGATGGTTAGTCTTTTCTTCTCTCTTTCTTTCACTGACTTTTATGGGAGTTGTTGTAGCTTCCTTTTTATATCTGCTATCAACACTGTGTCATCTTATGTTGTTAAGATCGTGGCCACCAATACTTAATCTTAGTAGGACTTCTAATTCTCTCAAAATCACCTCACTGTATAGGTTGAATAAGTCTGGTGAGAAGACACATCCTTGTCTTTTCTGTTTTTCTATATTTACTGAATTCATTTTGTAACCATATTTAGACAGTTTACTACCAGTATAAGTTCTGAATTATTCTAATACCATTCCCAAATATATCAAGGTTATCTAGCAGTTCCAACTTTGTCAAATACTTTTATTAGTTCAGTTAAATATAAGTAAAAATGACAAATTTGAAAATATTTATAAGTTATACACTGTAATATTTGTAGCCACTCTGTACATTGATCTGATACTTATCAGAGCATCCTCTCATAATTTGTCCACATTAAAAGAGGTGCTGGCATATGATATAATATATATAAGTAATTTTTTATTGATCTTTTAGCAGGAGTAATTATCTGTGCAGAAAGTGAAATTGTCGAGCTGAGTTCAAATTCAAAGCTAGTCTACTGCATTCACTTTTGCACAAATACTCTTGGTAAAGATATAAATTCA